TTCTACATTTTTTTGTTGATTTGCTTTGTTTTGTTTTTTTGAATGTCCAGAGGACCAGATTTAACTTTTTTAGATCCCACATATAAGGCGTTACAGTAATCAAGCCTAGAGCTCACAAAGGCATGGATGACCTTCTCGAGATCATTACGGCTGAGGATTTACTTTAGAAAGCAGACGGACCTGAAAGAAGCTGGTTTTTACAACAGAACTGATCTGTTTATCTAGCTTTAAGTTACAGTCAAGCTCCACTCCTAGATTTTTTACCACCTGGTTGGAGTGGGGGAGCAGAAAACCTAGACTGGGAGAGATGTTGCATGAATTACTGGAAGCACCAAATAATATTCATTCAGTTTTATCGTTATTTAGGTGGAGAAAATTCTGAGAGAGCCAGTGCTTAATGTCGTTTAAGCAGCTGGCAACAGAGTTTAAACTGAGTGAGGAACTGGGAATGACCGGCAGATAGATTTGTAGATAATCTGCACACAGATGAAAAGACAGATTATGGCGTGCAATGATGGGTCCTAATGGTAGCATGTAAAGTGAGAAGAGAACAGGCCCCAGAATGGGGTACGCCAGAGGTCAGAGAGACTGAAGAAGAGGACTTTTACACTTCTGTCAGTTTAACATTACAGTTATTTTGATTGCATTTTATGAAAAAATGCTGGATTTGAGCCTAGACTGCATCAAAAACATGCTACAGCTAGCTGCTGCTGCTATTACTGCTGCAAATAAACAGAGAAGTCCATGTGTGACAAAAAAATGATGGTGGTTTAAAACGTCCATTAATCTTTAGAGATTAAGTTATTTTAGAATGGCAGCAGTCCTCTGATTTTATCTGTGTTCAGACCAAACTGTTTTCAAATGGAGGTTGTTTAAAGAGTTATCCACAACAGGTGAGACATTACTGGGGACTCCCTAGAAAAGCAGCACCCATTATTATCCACCTGAAAAGGGTCTTGCTCTTCTATCAACTTTAATGCAGCCCAAACCACAATGTGTACCCCACAAATGTTATATCCAAAGGACCGGCTCAGCACCGTCATGTGCGCTATTACTTTTCTTGGCATTTCGAGTTGGGGCGGCTGTGGCTGAGTGGTTAGAGCAGTCGTCCTCCAATGCAAGAGTTGGGGATTCGAATCCACCAGCAGTGACATGCCGAAGTGTCCATGGGCAAAACCCTTCATCGCCTCCGATGTGTGTCCCATCGGTGAATGAATGTGATCTAAAGCTCTGATTAGTCTCTTTAGAATGATTTGTTCACTGAGCTTTGTAGAGATCTAGTAGAG